AGGGTATATACTATATACTCCTTACCCAGAGCTATTTTTTTCTTAAAGATAATTTTTTTTTTTAACCTATAAAACACAATAGATGTTCTGGTGTCTTTTCTTTGAGAGTATATAATCCTTACCCAGAATTATTTATTTCTTAAACAGAAATTTATTTTGACCCCATAAGAATAAAAAATGTATATGGTTTTTTTTACATTTAGAAGTAAAAATTTTAAGGATTTTAAGATCCACTTTTGAAAAACTAGAACCATTCTAATGTAGTGGAAATATAGGTATTTATTTGTATCTAAGGTAACTTAAATCAATTAGTACTTTACTTACAAACCATTTCTACAACATTTTTACAATAATTTCTAGTATAAAAAAACTACTAATTCTTCTACTAAACTGCAAAGTTTCTAACAGTTTTCAAGTGTACAGACGTACTAAATTTACACAATCCATAACCGTTGGAACCATTTATGCGTTACGAAGAATCAGTCTTCCACGATTTTTATTACCTCAGAAATTCTGCTTCGCGCTCGAGTATGTGAAATTATGCTGCCATGTTTATTAGCATTTTTCTATATTTATTTCATATCTTTTTTTTTTATTTTTTTTTTGCGTTTCGTACTGTTCTTTTCGAAGCTTTGTTGAAATAACTGTATAGTTTGTAGTTGACGTTTTTACCGCTATTGGTTCGTGATACGGTAAACACATTAACGTTGCCAATAAAGCAACCAGAGAACAAGTCTACACACAAAAACAAAAACAAGAACAAGAATACACAACTCAACCAAAGCCAGCCTGACTGACTGACTAACTTGGCTAAGACTTGGCAGTTATAGTACCGCATTTAGCAAAAAAAATAAAAAAAATAATGTGTTCATAAGTGAGTCAAACAGCAGTAAAGCGAATATCGTGTAAAAGTGAGAATTGCAAAATAACAGAACCTCACGATAAAGAACACTAAAAACACTAAGAACACTAAGAACGCCATCAATACTCGAAAAACAACAACAACAACTGCTACAATAACAACAACAAACCGATACTTGAAAGAACTAGCCAAGACCAGAGACTAGAGACCAGAACTGCTATTTTGTGTGTCAGTACTCGTACATGTTTCGATTGTATTAGTTTATTTGCTTGAAAAGTAGGACGCGATTAAAAACGTTGTTAGCAAAGGTGAATACCCAGTAAATAGGCGCACAAAAGTCTTTGGGATTTTGGTAAAAAAATAAAAAAAATATGCACAACAACAACTTTAAACCGTACTCATATTCTATTGGAGAGAAATCATCGTACTTGCAACTTGTACGGCTGGAAAAACATTAATTATTTTAGACTTGAAGCTAACAAAAATTAAAAATAATTGCAAAAATCCGATCTAACGTTTTTCAAATGAATTATTAATTTGTGAAGACGTATCTTTAGTATTCTGTCTTCATGCGCTTCACATTCGTACTGTATTTTCATTATTTCATTATTTCGTAAGAATAATTATTCTAGTTAGAATAATTAGAAATCCAAGTTGGCGGCATCGCATGCGCAGAAGCAACGTTTTGAATAATTCTAAGCAGGTTTCGATTGAGAAACCTCAGTCGATTAAAACAAAAAGTTTTTAATTACACAAATCAATTTTAGTAATTAAATTTTGTTTTTTTTTTTCTATGTACGAAAATAAGAACGGTTTTTACGAGGGTGGTTTGAAAAGTTCGTTCAATACTAAACTAGAAATAGATTTACAAAACCAAAACAATTGCTCCAATATTTACAAAATCTCTAGTGACCCCAAAATACTGCTTATGAAAGCATACACACATATTTGAACTACATGAGTTGACCTATTTAAAAAAAAATGGGTTAAGGTTACTCTGAAGGTGTAGTTTAACCTAAATGCAGAGATTCACCAAAATATACAATTTATTTTGATAAGACCAACTTTAATGGAACTAATTGCCGATTTTTGCTCCATTTTTTTTAACATTCCCTATTTGAGTGTGTAACATATGTATGTAAAATATATTTGTCACAATAATCCTTAAAGGAAGCAGTGAAGTGATGACATAGTTCCCAACCCTTTCAAATTCTATATATAATATATATTACATATATATAACTTATATATAATATATATTACATATGTATAATATATATTATATATATACATTACTCATATATATACACATATTCTAGTGTAGTGTAAGAAGCAAATATTAAGATCTCTGAGATGTTTGTCATCGCATAGGATTCATTATTAAGATAAATAAATTAAGTTTGGCGAAATGTTCGTAAGGCAGTAATGGACTTACACGGAAAACATTGGTGACAATTGGTACACATAATGATATACATCCAATAATTACATAGTATAAAAATTTAATATAAAGTTTGGCATATTTCGTATAACGCTACATAACGCTTTCAGTGTCACACAAGGATTTCCAGAAAATATGTGTTTTACCTTCTGATCATATTAATGAGATAAATGGATCTACTGATCTTAAATTTCACAGCATTTTCGTAAAGTAGTCATAGACATAATAGGTATTCAATTAAATATATGTTACACTTACTTATCACATTAACAAGATAAGTATGTTAGATTTGAATATATAGAATTAGAGATATAGTCATACAAACAAGCTATATTAGCTATTATTTGAATGATATAAACGGGGTTTTAAAGTGCTTGTTTCTTTCGAGTAGAGTTCCCATAAACAACTGTTATCGCGATAAGTACCTTTCAAGTGCTTAACAGTATTAATAAATAAATTTGTATTTAAAATTTGTTCAAGGAACGATTATAAAAAAGGTGCTTAATTGAATTCTTTTTATTTGGGGACTATAATTTGTTAAATAATTTGAAAAAAAAGGTTTTCCTTAAAATTTATGGAATATTTTTCGAACAACTTTCATATCCTATCCGAACCATTTATGAGTACTTAAACAGCATTACAACATTAACGGTTCTTGAACTGCATGTCTTTTTAAGCTACAGTTCTCTTCGAAACCCAATATTCCGGTTTATGGTGATAATAATCATAAGTGAAAAAAATCAATGTGTTGAGTCTTATAGTAAGTATGACAAAATGAATGTAAATCAAGTTGGGTCTTATAGTAGGTATGACAAAATCAATATATAATATAGTTGAATCCTACATTAGGTATGCTTGTTGATAAAACATTGAAACAAGCTTCATCAGAAAACTCAACAGATAAAGCAATCTAATACACTTAAAAAAGATGATTTGATTCAGTATTCAGTAATTCTTAAATACTGTTAACACAAGATTGTAGAACAAAGATATAGATCATTAGAAAAATTTTGTTTTAAAACCAAAATAAATATATAAATGTGACATGTTACTTATCCCATATACCAAAGCACATTATTTGAAAAATATATATGTACTATATATTTTATTATATTCTTTCGAGACCTTATAAAGTGAATGCATCTAAGAGCTCAACAAGCCGAATTGATTTGAGATTATCTTTTTTTCTGTCTCTCTCTCGCTCTTTCTATCACTCTCTATTGTTCTCTCTGCCCCCTTAACTGTCTGTATAAATTATCTTCCAGAAGTATATATTTCAGTTTCTGTGTTAACCTTATTAGATTTTTCACATAGAGTTTTTTAGAATATATAACCAAAATTTGGACGATTTTATTTAAATATTTAACTTAACTTCATTATTAAATTACTGTTCAAATTCGATGATTTTAATATAGTGAATTTTAGAGAATTCTCAATAACTCTTTTACTTCTATTAAAATTTATACACTTTAATTATTGATTGTTCTAATACAGTTTCTGATCATTAAAATTTTCTTTTCATATTAACTTTCATATTCTCTTTCCAAATGTATACTGTATCAGTCGGAAGTCACTTAACTATATCTATCTATAGACACTACGTCTTTTTTATTGACTTATTGACACTAAGCAATTTTTTAACAATTCGGTAGATTAGATTAGATTATACTGGCAGGCCAAAGAGGCCACGCGTAGACCATTAAGGTCCATTGCGATACCAGATTAGAGCCTTATTTTAGCGATTGTATGCATGACTTAGGATGCGCGTTTCATTAGCAAAATTTATTAACATTCCAACAGAAATCAGGTATGTACCCCAGTCCTGCAGTCCTGAAAGCCCCCAAGTATTTTTGTCGAGTTCTCGAGAGAGCCGCTAATATAAATTACATTAAATCAATATCTGAGACTACGTGAAGTTAAATGTTCAAGGTATTGGCTAAGGTGTTTAGGCTATATCGACAAACATCTGTTTGTTAGTTCTGTAGGCGCGTAACGCTACAATCGTCTTTGTTGTGAAATTGTAGTACCTAGTGGATGTCAATGTTAGTGATATACAAATCGACATTGATGATTATGTGATGAGTTTGGGTTTGATTCTTCTAATTTTTTTAAAATCAATTTTTGCTACAGTTCTCTAAATTTCAATATTGTATCTTCAACTCGGCATAATAATTGTTTTTTCATATTAAAAATGTGTACCGGTTATAACAAAATTTCTGATCAAAATTTAACATTAATTATTTAATTGACTCTGAAATCTTCTGCAATTACAAAAAAGGCTGATCGCGAAACATAATGTATATCTCATATATATTTTTCACTTTTTAACTTAGATATCTTCCTCAAATCCCCCAATCCATGGTACTAACGAAATATTTAAAGCCTGAGTATTCCGTCCATATTAATAAATATCGATTATAATAAAAAAAATACTAAGAAAATATGAAATAAATATATATATAGATATATAAATCTAAATAAAACATAAATAAAAATTATAGTTTTACTATATAGGTATATATATAATATAGTATTCATATTGTTCTTCCATTTACATAAGCGGGTATATAAAATAGGATTGGTCTATTATGAATACCAAAATGGAGAAAATGAATGGACTTCATGTTCTAAAATTTGTATACATTTCTGATATAACATGTGTATCATGTATTAATAATATTGATAATATTCTTCCATTTATATAAGAGTGTATTTAATATAATGTTGATCTTCTATAAGTATAGAAATGGAGTTATAAAAACGAATAGAATTCATCTTCTAAAATTTTTTAGACACTACGTTACTTTTCCACTGTAACACTTATATACATTTGTATATATGTCATATATATAATTAATATAAAATGTGGAGGGGCACTCACCCGTCATTGCACCACTAATGCTGGGTCCACTGAAGTGTGTATCTCTGGTGGTTGAAGCTTCTGAAGCAATCGTTGCAACAGTGTTTTTTTGTTGCATTGTCGATGTTTGTGCTGTTATCTGACGTTCGGCTGTTGAAGAACGAGTTGTTGCAGTTAAAGAACCTGTTGTAGTGACTGTTGCTGTCGCTGGTGGTGACCTCGTCTCACATGAATTTTGCTTAGATAATGTAAGTCGTTTCTTAGCCGGTGGTGCGTCTTCAGTATTGCATACATCAGTTGCACTTAAAGTTGTATTTGTTGCTGTTGTTGTTGCTGTCCCTGTTGAGTTGCTCAGTGCTGTTGTGGCGGCATCAAAACAGACATCCACCAATGTGGCTTGTGTTGTTTGCAGACCAGCAATATCTTTAATATCAATCCAGCTAGCACCGATCTTATCACCTTCGGTTAAAGGTAAACTAAGCACACGCGTGTCTTTATCATCAACAATATGGAAAGCCTGTGTAGGTTCTATCTTCACAATGATTGGTTGATGACTTATAATTTGTTGCTGCGATTGCTGCTGTTGTTGTTGTTGCTGCTGTTGCTGTTGTACACCTGCATGAAATGCTTGTACAACGCCATCAATATCTGTTAGCTGTTCCTGATTGCTATTTATTTGCTGTTCGATTTGTACTGCACCGGCAGGAATTAATATTGCTTCAGTGCTTGTTGAAGGCGAAGCAGCGTTGGTCGATGTTGTTGCCAGCAGCAATTCTTCACCGGTTGCCGTCTTACGTATCACATCGAACTTTAGTATTGTGCACTTATCCGTCTGCTGATATTGATGCTGCAATTGTGGCCGCTGTTGCAACTGTGCGTAATTCTGTACGTTACGTAGAAATGCGGTTGATAATGGTTTTGTTGTTGCTGTTGCAGCGGCGGCGGTGGTAAAGAGCAGCGGTGGCGATGTAGCCTTGTTAGAAGTAGTTATAGTTCGCACTATGTTGGCTGTGGTGGCAATTGTTGTTGCTGTCGCTGCTACTGTCGCAACACTCGATACTGCTGTGGCTGTTGTTGTTGCTGTTATTGGCGCTGATGTCGGCAACGGTATGATTGATATGGATGGTAGTTTGTTGCGAAAATTTTCACTGTTGCTGTTGGCAAGTGAGCTATTGATAATGTTGCTGACTGCGGCAGATAGTGTTGATTGTGTTGTTGGCGTGGTTGTGCCCACACCTTGAGGTGGCACCACCTGTTGATTTTTTGACCTATCCGTTGTGACGCTTTTTTTGTCTTATTTAATATAAGAATTTAATTGATACTATATATTAGAGTATCAAAAATGTTGTTTATCACTGTGATATATTTGAATAATATATAATTAAACTATATTCTTCAAGTCCAGAAGTACTTATATAAATTCAAAAATTTATTTTTGTTTTTTTGATTTTTTGTTATTTCTTTAAGTCTTATATTTCATATTTGTGCGTAGTTGAAGATATTAATATATTAGACACCTTTCTTGAGATAACTTAAGAACTCTATATTAAACCACTAAGTTCATTTTAATCTTTGTTGTGTTGTAGATTGCTTGTTTGAGTGAGATTCTTTATTGTTCTTTTTCTTTATAACGTTTTTTATATTATAAAATTTATATTTAATTTTATATATTAATTGTTTTGCCTTATAGGCTGCATAAGCTAACCCATAGGTATTCACATTTATTAGAATAAGTTGTTTAGAGAGAATACTATCTTTTGCTGTCTATCACAGCACTATTGTTTATTTTTTTGTTCTAATTAAACACCTTTCAAGTAACTTTAAAAATCCTTCTTAAACGATTTTGATGGTTATATGATCGTTTCATTTTTCAGGTAAGGACAATCTTACTAATATATAGAGTAGGAGGCGATCATTATAAATATCCTTAAAATTTCTTTGATAATTATCGTCTTTCACTTTTTACTTTCTTTACGATTGTATTCTTAAAAGCTTGTTTTATGAAGACTGCATATATGATGTATTACTGAACATTCATTTCTTAAAATGATGATTTACTGCTGATTTTTCCTGGATATATGTTTGCATAGAAATCTCTCCGACATATGTTGTCATTCTACTACTTATATTATCTTTCAAATTCAGTGCCTTATGAGAGACATATGTATAGTTGACCATAACAATTTTTTTCACTTATGTTATCACACTTTCAGTGAGTTTTATGAGATAAATGCCAATATGGTTATATATAACCCAATAGTTTTCAAATAGGTTTCTTGAATTCCGAACTACTTTTCTATCACCTTATTACGTTATTATAAGGCAACGTTAATTTTGATTACGATATTGCCAGTGGTTTTTAATAGGTTATTTTTATAGTATTTTCTAATAATTTTTCCATCATCTCATAAGTTAGTTTTATCAATCACCTGTCAATATCAGTGAATCGTTTATATAGTTTTATGAACTATCTGCCAATATCGACTGTGAATGTCTTATTAATGAATTACGTTCCCATCACAGCATTAATTAATTTTATGATTTAGCTACCAATAATGTATTTTGTATTGCCAGTGGTTTTCTGTATGTATTATATCTGAATTACTTTTTGATTACTCGATTAGTGATTTGTATCAGTTGGGTGTTAATTTCTTTTTCGATATTTTAAGTAATTTTCAATGTATTTCAGTACCAAATTACTTTCCCTTCATCCCAACAATTAATTAATTTCATGCATCAGCTACCAATATTGATTAACGTTTTAATTAGTTTTATGACTCAACTATCAATAACGTTTCCGAAATGGGAGTGATTATCAATACGTTTCTTGAGTGTCTTAATTCCGAATTACTTCGATTTTTACACCGCCAGTATCTTTCTACTAGTAAGACACATAAGAAGTCTTATTTTCGATTTCCTTTTCTATCACACCATTAGCTAGTCTTATCACTCAGCTACTAATGACATTTCCGATATAATAGCCGTTTTTAAAAAGTTTCTTGAATGTTTCCGAAAACAGTAGTTTTTAATCAATTTCTTGAATTTCCGTATTACTTTCCCATCACTTCTTTAGTTAGATATATGAGATTTTGTTAATTTCAATCATTTCTTTATAGAGTCTAATTTTGCGAACTAAGTTCCAATATATGTTCCAATTGATAGGTCTGATTGTTTTTTTATAGTAGTGATTGCCTTTAAAGTGTGGTAAAGATTTATTGTCCTCACTGAAGTGCTTTGGGTCTTTTTTTAACTTTTTACCTTTTTTTATATTTTTAGCAGATATATAGTAGAGTCCATTGTCTTAGAGTAATACTTATGACTTTTAAACCCTTATTTATAGATTGCTTTTCTTTTCTTCTTTTTATTATAGATTGATCTTATTGATTTGGTCTACAGTTCCGCATCGTATTCAATATAAATTTAAATATTTATATTTACGTTTTCGGGATTAACTATTGTTTTGAAGGATCCTCTAGTCTAGTCCAGTGGGCTAGCATTCAATGAAGATAACTGATTTTATTGTTGTTGTAAGTGTTGAAGTTAGGGTTTAAAATTAGGGTCTGCTTGCAGTTAATCCTTTCTTTGGATTAAACTTCTCATTCAAGATGATTTTGTACTTGCGCTTTGTTGTTGTATTTATTATGTCTTTGGGTCTTTATTTTCTTTTCTTTTTTGTTTTGTTTATGTTGTTTGTGTTCGTAAATGCAAAATACAGAGTTGCATTTTAGGTATATTATTTTTTTGATTTTTTTTTTGTGACTTTTATTAATTAAGAATATGCAATATGCAATCTGCAATCTGCAACATGCAACATACAACACGATTTGTACACGAAATAATAGAATTAAATCTCCGATTAGTCGAATCAGTTGCACCAATTGTAAACAAGGATATAAACTTGTGTGTATAATTTTTTATTTTAAAAACAAATTATTTATTTTCAATAATTTTTTTTTATGTAAACAATTTAAATTTTTTTTTTGTTAATAAGTGTAGAAGCACAACATTTAAAAAAATAAAAATCAGCCTTTTAAGTGCACTTAAGAGCGATTTCAACGCGAGAATTGCTTTGGCGAAATTGCTGCTTGCGTGGGTGTTCGAAAAACGGTTTCGGACATGAGTCGTTTCGAATCGTATTGAATTTTTCGTTTAATCGCTTTACATTTGAAATGAAAATGAATATATTACTTTTAAAAATCAGTCGTGTTTTTTTTATTTATGCTTAGTGTTGCGTTTCAATAGAGTTCAATACATGTATTTTGATATATATATGTGTATATATTCGAGTTGTATTTAAGATAAAATTTTTTTTGTTCTCATAAATGTCTTCTGTATATGGTTGCAGTTCCATCCGTGCTATCTTTCGTGGTTCAGAATTGCAGTCTACACGTTTTCTGTATTGCACAAGTACTACTTTTGTGTATCCTGCTGCTGCATGTTTGTGTGGATTAACACTGGCAACATAAGAATCTGTTGGTACACATAAATGCAATGAAATGCGCAGCGCTCCATGCGAGTGGGCTATGGAACGAGTAGAAATGTCAAAATAATTGGAAGTGTGCCGATTTCGCTGTCGAAGCCGATGTCTTTGCCTTTACCGTTGTCGTTGTCGCTGTCGTAGTCGTGGTCGTGGTCGTGGTCGTAGCCGTTGCCGATGTTCCGTAACATCTCACTAGTGCATTATATTCCACCACTTCTTTTATTTTGAATTATATTTTTTTTTTTTGCTTTTTGTTTGAAGTATATAACTTTTACTTATTCACAATTTCAACAAAAACACAATAATCGATTTTTACATTTTCCGAGTGATTGCTTTGAACTGAAATCCATTAAAAATTATAATCACATCTGGTCGTCACAATCTCAGAATGTCACAACAGATCAAATAATATTTTTATATCAATAATATTCATACCGAAATATATAAAATATATTTTTATTTAAAAAAATCAGTGTTTTTAGTCGACACTTTAAGCACACAATGAACATAAACAAAACTCTACAACCACTGGCAGCGCACACAGCACATCCAACAAGGACACCCTTCCAGGATATTCCATTCCAATAAGACGACGGCAATGCAAAACGGGGGATGTGTACGTCGAAATGTACGGAAAATGAAAAACGAAAAAACTTTTCAAAGCCCAAACACAACAAAACCTAGTGAAAGTTTTTCACTACGAATTTCCTTTCACAAACGAATTTCCAATCGGAAAATATTTTCTCTATATTTTTCCAACACTTCACATATCTGGTTTTTCTCTTAATAAACTTAAATTATTTATTTGAATATAAATTTTTTTTGAATTTAACAACTTAATCCTTTCACATATGCAGTTTTATTTAATTTTATTCTATTTATTTTTTTTTCTTCCTTTTTTTTTGTTGTGAATCCTTCGTGTGTTGCTGCGCTGTTCCACATAAAATCTGTGACTGGAAATGGGAAAATGTATCGCACTTCAGCGCATACGTTACAAAACACAGAAAATAGGACTCGTCGTTGGAAAATAGGGTTAGTAGGCATAATGCCAAGTGCATAGTCAGGGAAAACTGGAAACCGGAATGGCAACATTTTCCACCCTTAATACCAGGTGTTGTGCCACATCCTCACACAATGCAATAAGAAAATATGTGAATATTTTTTTTGCTTCTTCTTCTATTTTCATTTAACAATTTTGATTACGTATTTTTCACTTAACAAAGGACTTAAAGGACTCTTCGCATAAGCAGCGCAATTAAAAAGGGATAAAAAAAAGGAAGCAAAAAAGTTGTTTTGGGATTCTTCTCTGCAATAAAAAGGATTTCCTTTGGGTTTCAAAACAGGAAAAAAAAAACAGAAAACAATGGTAGATGAAACTGCACTGCGATTATATCGATGCAGTACGAACCTGTACGTACCACAGGTTTATTGATCTTTAACAAATTAAAATTCAACGGCATATACCATATGTACGTTTTAATAGATGATGATAATAAGTACCGCCAGTAAAGTGTTCAAAATTTATGTACTTATGTCGGATTTTAAGAGGTATTTTAGGAATTCGTAGTGGCACTTTAGGAATTCGTAGTGGCACTTTAGGAATTCGTTGAGGCATTTATGAATTTAAAACTACGAATTTAATTGCTTCGTAGTTAAAATCAAATTAAATTGATCATCAAATTAATGTCTTTTTGCACGAATTATTGTTAGAGTTACAGATAGAGGAAATTTTGGTGTTGAGTAATCTACAATTAGTCTATTATTATTTTATGTGCCTCATGGCGACTAAAATTTTATAGATTTAATTAGCTCTATACGTGCTTCTTTTTTATAGGTCTAAATAAATTAAACTTTAATTACTCCACTAGTTAAGAGTAGTGTATACATATATAATGTTACAACCGACATTATTGGATAAGTTACGGAAATTAGGAGTAATGAAAACAAATATATATAATTTCAGAAATCAGATAACTTAGGTTTTCTTCACAATAAACTTGATGAGTAAATCTTATTAATTTAAGCAATTAATCTTATAAACTGAAACAGTTAATCTTATGCTCCTTAAGATATATTTATATCGACAAGCTAAGTCATATACATAAGTATATGAAAATAGATATGTTAGTATACATATATTCCAAAATTGCTATTGATGTATAAAGATATATACACATATATGTAAAGATAGATATGCTAATGTAAATACAGTCCAAAATTGATATCGGTATATAAAG